TTAAAAAGCAGCAGTCTTTAAGTAATAGGTACAAAGAGAAAGTTTTTAGTGCCAGAATCACATTAGTTATTGAGCTACAGTATTTTTCAATTCTAAAATACATTTTTGGGGACATTTTAGCATCACTGAAATGGAATACATCTTAGTTGGTAGCATCTTAAAATCCCTATTGGCCAGGCAGAGCTGTGACACGGTTGTCATTTATTGAACACACTCTAGTAAGATCAAGAAAATGCCATAAAAAAAAATGCAGAATGTCTTGGCAGAAAATTCCCAAAGATCATAGCAGAAGACTCTTTTAAGAAAGGCTTCGGCTGGGTGCAGTGGCTCACACCTGTAATCCCAGCACTTAGGGAGGTTAAGGCAGGTGGATCATGCGGTCAGGAGATTGAGACCATCCTGGTCAACATGGTGAAACCCCATCTCTACCAAAAATATAAAAATTAGCTGGGCATGGTGGCATGTGCCTGTAATCCCAGTTACCAGGGAGGCTGAGGCAGTAGAATCGCTTGAACCAGGCAGTCAGAGGTTGCAGTGAGCCAAGATCGTGCCACTGCACTCCAGCCTGTCGACAGAGCAAGACTCTGTCTCAAAAAAAACAAAAAAAAAAAAAAAAAAAAGAAAAAGAAAAAGAAATGCTTCACCACTAAATACTCTGGATGGCTGAGAAAGAAAGCATGAACATAGGTGGCTCTAAATTAAAAAGTGATTTTAAAGAGTTTGAATCTGAATGGAAGAAATTCTAGAAATATTTTAACCAATTATTTCCACTGCATTTTATTTATGTATGCACAAGAGTGATACATAATTAAAAATATCTGTCAGGCTGGGTGCAGTGTCTCATGCCTATAATCCTAGCACTTTGGGAGGCCAAGGTGGGCGGATTACCTGAGGCTAGGAGTTCACAACCAGCCTGGCCAACATGGTGAGACCCCATCTCTACTAAAAATACAAAAATTAGCTGGGCATGGTGGTGCATGCCTGTAATTCCAGCTACTCGGGAGACTGAGGCAGGAGAATGGCTGGAACCCAGGAACCGAAGGCTGCAGTGAGCTGAGATTGCACCATTGCACTCCAGGCTGGGCGACAGAGTGGGACTCCGTTTCAAAAAAAAAAAAAAAAAAAAATCTGTCAACATAAGTCCATAGAACTCTTTCAATAATTCTATCATAGTCAATAGCGTTTTTTCTTTCTTAATGGCACATGAAATAATGAGTGTTTTATAATCTTTATATAAAATAGAAAAAATTTCAATCCAAGGCTGGGCGTGGTGGCTCATGCCTGTAATCCTAGCGCTTTGGGAGGCCGAGGTGGGTGGATCACCTGAGGTCAGGAGTTCAAGACCAGCCTGGCCATCATGGTGAAACTCCATCTTTAAAAAAAGAAAAGAAAAAATTTCAATCTAAACATCTGTTATAGTCTACCTTATGCCCCTAGTAAAACAGACTACTTGGGAAATCATAATTGTTCTGAATGTGTATATTTACGCCACCTCAGGTCTGTGGCATGCTGCCAGCCCCACCCCCCAGGCCTTTGGTCTTTACTGGTCGTTTCATTTACGCAAAAGGCCAGAATCTGTTTTCCTAATTTCTGGCTAAGTGGTTCACATGCATCTTTAGAGTTCATTCAGCAAATATTTATCAAGCACTTACTATTACCATCGCTTTAAGCAGATTACGATTACTCTAACAAGTACTTTCCAGAGACTCTGGAAAATTCCACAATAAACTGCTATGTGGCAATTCCTAATGAAGTAGATCTGCTATGAAAAAAAAATTTAGAAGCAGCAGATAAGAAAAGTTAGGATGGAGAAGCACTGGATTTTGAAAGATAAGAGCCTTATCAGGTAAAACTGGGTTGGACTGGGCCTTGTAAACAAAAAGGAATTCTATGAAGGAAGAAGAGATAGGAAAAGGCTTGTGTGTTTGCAGAAGTATTAAGCAGTGTGGTATTGGTAAGGTTGAAAATGTACAGTATGGGTTTCACAGTTTTAAGGTCTCCTCCAAACAAGAAGAATGAGAAACAGGAATGCAAACTCCGTCTTCAAAAACCTAGGAGACACCTGTAATCCCGGATCACTATATATGAAGACAGAAAGGAGAAGTAGGAATGGTAAGTGACTTAGTTTACTGATGGCAAGCAAACCAATTCACCTTGCACAACCCAAAGAAAGGCAAGGTTTGTTGGTAGCAGGTACCACAGAAAATGGAGTAGGGTAGAGGACTGAACATAGGGGGACTATTTGAAAGCCATCTGTAAAAGAATAGTTAGGTCTCCCTACCCCCACTCCACAAACTCAGAAAATCATCCTTCTTTCACCCTGCTGAAAATAGAAAGTTTATGTGCTGAGAGGAAAAAGCTGAGCCAGAAAAACACCATCAGGGGCATCAGACAAAGACAGCGGTAAAGGATTGAAAATAAAAGAGGACCAGAAACCAGGTCACCAAAAACCAGGCTTACCAATTCCAGCTCCTAGGCCCCACTGTGGATTAAATAATCTTTTTCTGGAGGAACAGAAATATCATCTACCTACATGATCACCTTACAGCGAAGCCCACTAATTGACAAATGCTGCCCACGAACACAGAGCTTCCCCTCAGCTTTTTAAAGCTTCACTTTTATTCTGAAATCAACTTTACTGATAATTTACATACAATAAAAACATATTAAGTATGCAGTCCAATGAGATTTGACAAGAGCCATGTAACCACTGCCTTAAAAAAGAACATTTTTAAGACCACAAAATTATCTCTAGGCCCTTTCCCAATTTCCCTCACCCACAATATCCAACAACCATGGATCTGATTTCTATTACTATAGATAAGTTTTGCCAGTTCTAGATCTTCATATTAACATAGTTATATATGTACTTTTTTCTCTCTGGTTTCTCTCATTTAGCACTTAGTTTTGAGATTTATCCATTTTACTATCTGTTATCAGTTGTACATTCCTTTTTACTGCTGAGTAGTATTCTACTGCATGAATATACCAGAATGTGTTTTATCTATTCAAAAAATGGATAAAACACATTCTGGTATATTCATATAGCTCATGGACATTTGAGCTGTTTCTAGTTTGGGTTATTATGAATTAAAGCTACTATGAACAATCAAGTAAAAATCTTTTTGTGGATTTGTGTTCATTTCTTTTGGGTAATCAACAATAGAATTACTTCATCATGATAAATGTACATTTAACTTTGTAAGAACCTGCAAAACTGTTTTCCAATGTGGTTCTACCATTGTATACCCTTAGCAGAGGCACCTGAGAGCTCTAGTGGCTCTGCATCCTTTCAGATACTTGTCAATTTTAGCCATCTTAATGAGTGTGAAGTGGTAACCCACTTCGGCTTTAATTTGCATTTCCCTGCTGACTAATGATGTTGACTATTTTTTCATATGCTTATTAAAAATTCATAGATATCTTCTTTTGTAAAGTGTCTATTCAGAATCTTTTATTACTGAATTCTAAGGGTTCATTTTATATGTACATTTTAAACACAGGTCCTTGGCTGGACACAGTGGCTCAGGCCTGTAATCCCAGTACTTTGGGAGGCTGAGGTGGGTGGATGATGAAGCCAGGTGTTAGAGCCCAGCCTGGCCAATGTAGTGAAACCCTGTCTCTAAAAAACAAAACAAAACAAAACAAACAAAAAAACCCCACAGACATTATTTCCTAGTCTGTGGCTTCTCTTTCCATTTTCTCAGCAGTGGCTTTTGAAGAGTAGGAGGTTTTAATCCTGTGAATTAATTTTCATCAATCCAATTAATGATTATTTTCTTTTAGAGTTAAAACATTTGTATATACTACCTTAAGATCTTTGCTTATCCTAAGGTCATAAGGATTTTCAATGGTTTTATAGTTGAAAAGAATGAAACGCTTTCCTCTCTTGACTCCTGGGACATATTTGTCTGGTTCTCCATCTGCCCTTTGAAAATTCACTGTCTGTCTCCTTTCTTGCATGTCTCTTCTTGTACCCTATGTGCCAGCCTTCCTCAGAGTTTTGTCCTTTGCCCCCTTTCGCATCCTACATATGCTCAATCTTGTCCACTCTTGTGGCTTTAAAACCTTTATCTGGTGCTTCCTCTCAAATATTTAATTCCTGTCTCTTCACTGCCAAGTATATCCAACTACATGGGGAATATTTTCTCCTGAATGTCTACTGAATCCCATGACTGAAGCTGAATTCATCTCCCTGCAAACATCAGAGATACACTTTTCTGGGTGTCTCTCCCCAATTTCATGGAGAAATTTGGGAAGTTAATATAATCTTAAACATTAATGTAACGATGGAAATTGTAGAATGGTGTTACACATACTTTGTTGCTATTTATTTGTTCCACTTCAGGAAACATCTGGAGCAGAGTATGAGGTAAAGAAATTCCACTGCTTATCTCAGCTAATGAAAGGGTTCAAGAAGAAATGATCAATGTCAATCATAGACAAAAGACAGAGTTGACTGAATGTCCATGTCACTTAGGTGGATCACTTGAAGACTGAGAGCAGAAAAAACTAGAAAATTGTCTCAAAAACTTTTTTATTTAACAGAGTACACAAGGTGTCATGATTCAGAGCTAATGAGTCATTTAGAAATAATAAAACTATTACTTTGCCTGGAAAACATAGGCAATGTTGGGTCGATGACTCAGTGTGGAAACTGCTTCCAACAGAACAGTTTAAAGGAATACCAAAAGTGTACTGTAAGGCCTATTTGTGGAACAAAAAAGGAGACCTGGAATATTTTATTTGTTGTGTCCACTTCAAAAAGAGTTGAGAAATTTAAAATAAAATAAATAAAAATTAATATAGTTGAGAAAATAAAACATCTCTTACAGAAAAGATTTTCTGATGCTCAAAGAAATGGTACACATGGGTATCAAAGAACAATTAATGCTTTAGGTTTAGGGCTAATGTCTGAATGAGGCTAAGGGTAATATAAAAACATACAGCAGTAGACCTGATTTGAGCATATGGGAATTAGGAAGTACTTAAAAACTTACTTTTATTTTTACCACAGTAGAGAAACAGAAAATGTGGCTGAGGGGAAAAATCACCAGGTGAGCAGTCAGGAGCTCCTGATCTCAGCTTCTGCATTGACCAGCTCGGTAACTTGGTCAAGTCACTTCTCTCACTGGGATTTCATCTTTTCGTCAGGAAAAACAGGATGAAAGATGGCTCTGGGGCCTAGAGAAAAGCAAAATTTGTTTTTTCTTGGTTTGAATTAGGAAAGGGCTACATTTGCCAGAAAACTATTTTGTATTATTTGATATCGGAAGTATAAAAAACTGGCTATTAATTTTTAATGCATGTAATTTGCAAAGTTACTGATTTCTCTGAGAACTATTCCAAAAGGAATACCTGAGGTTAAATTTTTACCATTTTCTAACATAAAAAAATTCTTTATTATGTATTCCAAAATATCACCAATAGTTTTTGTTTCTGTCTAGCTGTATTTTAAGTTACTTTAGTTCACACAATTTCCTTTTCCAAGTATTTTTCTTATTTTGGAGGCAAACATATAAAAATCAGGTAACATTCTATAGGCAAAATACATTTAGGCAACTTAGAAGAACACATGTATTTTACAACACAGTTTAATAAACATTGAGTCCCACCACAGACCAGGTACCCTTCAACATAAAGAACTATGAACTCTATGGTTCTGCCTTAAGCAGCTCACAGTCTGAGTAAGCATGAAAGTGGATACATAACCTTTAGGCAAAAGAAGGGCACACCAGAGAGGTTATCTGCCAAACCCAGTCCTGGAATAAAGAAGTAGTAGTTGGCTGAAGAAAGGGAAACATCCTGTGAGAAGAGGGAGCAAAGTAGAAAGCAGTATGGGATGTGTGAGAGCTAGCAGGAATCTGGTATTATTTGAGTGTCAAGTTTGAAGACAGGCTTCCAGGAGCCAAAGCTGAAGGAGTGGGGCAAAGACAAGACAGCATCAGAAAGCCCCTGGGAGGTTACACATTGGAGTTGGGGGAGGAGACAAGGTCAAATGTGCACTGTGGGATATATTACTCTTGTAGCATTGTGGAGGACAGACTTGAGAACACAAGATGAAGCTGGGTAGGCCAGGTAGAAGGCCTCTGCAGAGTTTAGGAGAGAATCAGTAAGGCTACAAATGAAGGGAGCTCAGGGTCTTAAGTGACTAACCACGATCACAAAACTAGAGCAGGATCTGTACACAAGACTTTTATCTTTAAATCCCGTCCTTTTCTAAATTCCTGTACAAGTACAAATTCTGATCAAAGTTAACAAGAAATCGAAATTTATTAACTAAAGTATGAATATATTTTTAAAAGGACTGTATTAGTTTATATTAAGTACTCCAAATTTTCAGAGCATTATAGAAAACAAACAAGGCTTGTTTATAGGAATTCATGAGCTTAAATAATAGGTCAATTCATTTAAGAGACATTTATTGAGCTCCTCCTGGGTCCTGATGAAGATCACATTCTAGGACAATTCCTTTTAGAACATTTTTACATCCTCCTTCCCTTCCCTGACAAGATAGTTTTGATACAAGTGAGCAGAGAGGGTCTTCAGAGTCTCGATTCTAGAGGCTGACCAAGAACTTATTGTAAAAGAAATAGAATCATGAGATCAGGGAAAAGCTGCTTGTGTGGGATGGTAAGAGAAGAATCCCAAAGAATGGTATGGATGGCAGGAAGCTAGAGTAGAGCCTGGACTTGCCTACTCTATTCAATGCAGTTTGGAATTGACAAACCAAAATTATTGTTTTTTCTTTTTTTAAACAAGTTTTAGCCTTTATAAAAGTAATGACCATAGAAATAAGACAAACTGCAGACAAAAGTGAGAGTGATACCAGAGAAATTACAAAGAGGAAAGCAAAGATCACAGCTAGAGGTAGTATCAATGTGAACATTTTTGTAAATATCCTTTTGGGCTTTAAAAATACATATACATATAAACAGTCATGGAGATTTTTGTGCATATAATTTTTAAACAAAAGTGAGGTTAAATTATAGTTTATTGCCTGTTTTTTCTTACACTTAATATAGAGAAACTCCTTTCCCTGAAAATAAAAATCCATAGTATACAATTTATAGACATTGTATGGGCACAGTAAATTTACTCATTTAACTCTCTAGTAAGGCACATTAGGCTGTATGGTAAGTAAGGTACAGAAAGGAAGCAAGCAATGAGCAAATGAGAAAACTGACTTCAGCTGTGGCAGCATTTTGATTATTTTAAAGGTACAAAGAAGGTAAGACATATGGAAGTTCAGGAGGTTTTTGTGTTCCAGACATAGATGAATAATGTCTGAATCTGGAATTCTTTGTGGATGAAGAAGAATTTCCAAGAGGGAAACAAAAAAGGACTGCAACCCAACACATACTATAAATGAAGTAATTTCAAATCTTCACATCTGCAGAACAGATAGATAGAATGTCAAGAAGGCACTGAGACAACTAAAAACAGCGGTTGGACTGCCAGGGAAAAACCAAGTCCCGTTCTAATGAACATCCACAACCACAGCTTTCCAAGGAAGTGGCAGAACTCCCAAAGCATACTCTAATAGAAGGTGTTCTTTCTCATGAGATTCCAGGTGGCTTTAAGACTTCATGTATCCTCTGGGTCTCCACTTTCCCAAGTGTTTGGGTGGGCTCTGTGGGTTACAAACGGTGCTTGTCAGAGTTCCCTTGGGAGCTGCATTTCTTACTGCAACAAAAGCAGCTCTGCTTTTATCTGTTTTAGATATTTGATCTCTAAAAAAAAAGTTTTATTTGAAAAAGCAGTTCCACAGGTGAAAAAGGTTCTTAAAATAACAGGGTGAAAAAAATAACAATCCCCCTTCAGTTTGTTAACCACAAAGGGGAAAATGTAAATATATAATGGAAAGATATGAACATTCCCACCTTAACATGTTAGACAAACTGGGCATCACTGTCTAACACGTTAGACAAACCCATCACATATGGTGGGACAATCACACCATATGTGCCTCCCAAAATGATTCAGTGTGAAGACTGCAGCATCATTGATGGTATTTCCTTACCAAAAATATTTAATTAATCAATGATTTACATCTAATGTCCAATTCCAGAAAATACAGGATATAGAGAAATAAGTTAATACCATGAGGAAGCAGAGAAATTCATGATATGGATCATTCTATAAGATAGCTGGCCTGGTGTCTTCAGTGGGTGGGTTAGGGGAAAAGAAAGCAAAAGGGACACCACATATAAAGGCTCTAAGGTGGAAGCACAGCTTCAATGTTTTAGCAAGAAGGAGAATGCTAGTGTGCTAGATTTTGCTCTTACCTAAGTGAGATGGAAAGCTACTGAGGGGTTTTAAGCAGAGAAATGGTATGAACTGATGTTCTTCACAAAATCATTCTGGCTGTTAGGATGAGAGCATACTACAGGGACAAGAGCAGAAGAGGGAGACCAGAAAGGGGGCTATTAGAATAATCCAGGCAAAAGATGATGCTGGCTTGGACTAGGTTACAGTAGTAGGGGCAGGGTGAAAAGTGGTCAGATTCTGGATATATTTTCGAAGTGGCGCCAGTAGGATACATGAGTGGGTTTTATGGAAAAGAGGGAGGTCAATAATAAATTGATTTTTTAAAAATCTAAGAGTTTTTTAAAAACTGTTTTTTTTCCTTGAACAACTGAAGATGAGAACTGACATTAATTGAGACTGGAAAGACTGAAGAAAGAATAGATTTGTTTGTGAGAGAGGAAGTTGTGGTTGCAAGGAGGATCAATAGTTCAGTTTTTGACATGTTAATTTTAAGATGCCTATTAAGATGTTCAGGTACAGGTGTCCAGAAGGCTGCTAGAGAACTGAGCCTGGAGTTTAGGGGACAGATCTGGATTGACACAAATTTGGGAGTCATAGTTTAAAGTAAAACTAGATGAGATCACCAAGGGATGGAATACGGAAAGTAATGAGGAGATATCCAAAGGCTGAGCCATGGGGCACTTCAAACATGCAGAGTGGCACTGTCCAATGGAACTTTCTGTGATGATGAAATATTTATGTCTGCACCATGCAACAGTAGTCACTTCCCACATGTGGCTATTGAGCACCTGAAATACAGCCAATTGAAATAGCTACATGTAGCTAGTGGCTTCTGTACTAGACAGTACAGATCTAAATTATGGGGAATTGAAGAAGAACCAGCAAAAAAGACTGATAAAAAAATGGCCAGAGAGGGAAGAATTACTGTGATACAATTCTCCATAGGTCTCTTACGTTTCTGCAAATATTGTGGGGCATGCTCTTGATAGTCAGTGATGTGACACATGGCAGTTCCAGACTATCTTTTCAAAGGTGTTTTTATACTGAATAGCTTTGGAAGACAGTGTCTCCCTCCAGAGCAACAGGTTACTGTCCAGCATAATAAAGATAGTATTTCCCTCTGGAACAAAGAGCAGGCTTCCTTATTGTCCATTATAAAAGATTTGGGTTCCCTAAGATCAAGTTTCCCTTCTAATAACACAGCCTTACTGTGTGTACAGGTATCATCTGGCCTCTTCATATTGCTCTGGGGGAACTGGAAATCAGGAAACTAATACAAAAATACTGATACTCTGGTTATGTTACTGCTGTAAGTAATAAACTGTCTTCTGTCTCTGATCCAGAAGTCTCGTGTCTTCTACAATTATACATGAAACTGTGGCATACTAACTTGTTAGTATACAAACACAGTAAAATCTTAGATCCTTCATAGTTCTGGACAAGTATCTCAGAAGCCAAGTAAAGGTGCTTCAAGGAGGAGAAAGTGAGAGATCAACTCTGTTCCTGAATGTTAAGTTAGATAGGTGTTGAGAAATGACAGATGTGGACATCACTGATAACCGAAAAGAACAGTTTTCTTGGAATTATGGAGGAAGAAGTCTGACTGGCTTCAGTTCAAAAAAGAATGGGAAGGGAAAAATAAGCAACAGAACATAGGTAATTAAAAAAAATTTTTTTTTTTTTTGAGATGGAGAGTCTCTGTGGCCCAGGCTGGAGTGCAGTGGTGAGATCTTGGCTCACTGCAATCTCTGCCTCCCAGGTTCCAGTGATTCTCCTGCCTCAGCCTCCCAAGTAGCTGGGATTACAGGCATGTTCCATCACACCTGGATAATTTTTGTATTTTTTTTAAGCAGAGATGAAGTTTCACCATATTGGCCAGGCTGGTCTCAAACCCCTGACCTCGTGATCCACCC